AAAAATTTGATGTAAAAGACTTAGAGATGATCTTAAAGACTCTCTTAAGACTTAGAGATGATTTTAAAACTCCTTGAAAAATTATTTAGGTAGTGCAAAACTCTAGTAGTTATTTTTACTTATTGAGCTGTCATTCAGTGGGTAACTTCTCTTTGTGATATAAACCTCTATTCTCTTTCTCACTGTGTCAAACTGACTCATCTCTGACCCCCAAGCAGGTTTCTGAGGCTGTACATTGCATGGGAGGAGATTGCCTGTCTCTCTCCCCTGGAACTGTGGATGGATTGGAACTGCTAGAGAGGCTTGACCTTTGTGTTAACAGTGTAGTCTTCCTATGGACTAAGCCACTAGAGTGCCTTGTACAACTACAATACTATGTTAAATTGTTATGTTGTTATTGACTGCCATTGAGTCGAGAACGACTCATAGCGACTCTCTGAACAAAAGACCTGAAGCCTTTCTATTCCTATTGTCATTTCTCAAAGTTCATAATCTAGAGGCTTGTTGTTTAGGAAGTGGATACCACTGCTGCTTCTAAAAATTGTTATAAATTTACTAATTTATCTAAAGGTCAAACAGAAAAGCACAATATTTAGTTTTATAGAAATAATATTGTTATATAACATCAAGTCAGAATCGACTCTTAGGTGATCCTCTAGTGGGTTTTCAGAGGCGAAAATAGCCTGTAAATATTTCAGGAAGCACCATAAGGTCAAGAGCCAATGATAATGAAAGAAGAGGTTCAAACTGCACTGAAGGTATTAGAAAAAAAATGTACCTGAAATTGATGGGATAGCAACTGAAATGTTTTGAATGACAGCTGTAGCCCTGGATAGGCTAACCAGTCTGTGCCAGGAAATTTGGAGGACAGCTTCCTGGCCAACTGACTGGAAGAGTCCATATTTGTTCCCATTCCCAAAAAAGGTGATCCAACAAATGTGGAAATTATTGAACAATATCATGTATAAGCAAATTACTGCTGAAGGTCATTATAAAATGGGTAAAACAGTACATAGAGAACTGCCAGATGTTCACGCTGGATTTAGTAGAGGATGTGGTACCAGAGATATAACAGCTGATGTCAGATCCTGGCTGAAAGCAAAGAATACTAGCAGAATGTCTTTTTGTGCTTTATTGAATATTGAATATGCAGAAGCATTTGACTGTGTGGATCATAACAAATTATGGCTAACATTGAAAAGAATGGGAATCCCAGAACACTTGGTCGTTCTCATGAGAAACTTATACATTAACCAAGAGGCTATTGTATGAACAGAGCAAGGGAACCTACATGGTTTAAAATTAGGAAAGGTGTGCACACCCATGCTTATTTCTGCTTTGTTCACAATAGCAAAGAGTTGGAAAAAACCCAAGTGCCCATCAATAAATGAATGGATAAAGAAACTCTGGTATATTCACACAATGGAATACTATGCTGTATTGAAAAACAAAGAACTCATGAAATATTTTACAAAATGGGTAACCCTGGAGGCATTATGCTGAGTGAAATCTCTCAGTCACAAAAGGACAAACACTGCATGCCATTGTTGTAAAATGGGACTGACATTAGGGTTAGTGGGAACCTAAGAAAAGAGGGGATAAATGCATACTGCATTGAAACAGATGAGAGAGAGAACGTTTTAAAAGGAATATAGGATTAGGTAATATTTTCATGACAAGATTACAGAAAAAGAAATAGTAAAGTGGACTGTGGACTGGGGGAGGGGAGATTGTATAACAATGAGTTTTTTTTTCTTATCAAAGAGAAAAATGAACTAGGGCAGAGGGGTGGACAGGGAGAAAAATGTGCAACAATAAATGAATGGGGAAAAAAGGAAAGAATATGCTGTAAGAATATGTATGTTGCATTAAAAAATCATTTAAAAATGCAAAAAAATTAGAAAAGGTGTGCTTGAATGTTGTATTCTTTCTTCGTACCTATGTAATCTGTATGCTGAGCAAATTAATTGAGAAGCTGGACTCTATGAAGAAGAATGTGACATTAGGATTGAAGGAAGACTCATCAATACCTTCATTACATTGATGACATGACCTTGCATGCTAGAAGTGAGGAAGACTAAAAGGTTAAAAGGTGCAGCCTTCAGTATGAATTGCATCTCAATCTCAAGAAAACAAAAATATATACCACTGGACCAGTATGCAACATCGTAATAGATGGAGCAAAGATTGAAACGGTTAACGACTTCAGTTACTTTCATCCACAATCAGTACTAGTGGTTAGGAGACATAATTGTACTGCGAAAGTCTGTAGTTAGAGACCTCTCCAAATTATTGAGGAGCAGTGATGCAGTAATTTTCAGTTTGAGAAATAAGATGTACCTGATTCATGTCATGGTCTTTTCCGGCACTTGGCTATGCATCTGAGACCTGGACAGTAATTAGGATTACAGAAGAATTGAGGCCTTTGAATTGGAGTATTGGAGAAGTGTCTATTTCCTAGATTGCCAAAAGGACAAATAGATTTGTCTTGGAGAAAGTGCAGCCAGAGTGCTCCTTGGAGGCAAAGAAGACAAAACTTCATCTCACATACTTTGGGCATGTTGCTATGAGGAGAGAGACATCCAGCTTGCAAAGATGGAGGGATGATAAAGGAGAGGACGATCTTTAACCCAGTGAGTGGATTGACACAGTGACTGCAGCAGTAGGCTTGAGTATGTCAGAGATTGTGAGGATGGCACAGGATAGGACAAGGTCTAGATCTGAAGTTTATAGAGTCTCTGTGAGTCATACTCAATGAGATGGATTGACACAGTGACTGTAGCAGTGGGCTCAAGCATGTCAGAGATGATGAAGATGGTGCAAGATTGGTCAGAGTTCAAGATAGATAGACTCTCTGTGAGTTGTACTTGATGGCACCTAACAATAACAACAATTCAGTTCACATCTCTGATGTAAAAAATTAAGCTAAAGCAATATATTTAGTCCTTTAAATTCTCTATTTAATAGTGGTCTCAATGCTTACAGAGAAAGACATTGTTATAAGGAAAGAATAATACTTACTTTGAGCATTGAAAAGCAGTCATTGCAAAAACCGTATGTCATTCAAAACACTAATTGCTGTTGAGTTGGATTCGACTCATAGCTGACCCTCTGGTGGATTTTTGTTGCTGAGATTGCATGTAAGGTGATAACCCATCTTCCTCTGGTGGAGTTACTTACTGGTGGATTTGAACCATTGGAAGGCTTGGTCTTTGGATTAGCAGCACAACTCCCTTCAGAATAGGCCACCAGAACTCCAAAGTATGTCACAGAAGTATAAAAATTATCAGTGCTGGGATTATACAGGTCAGATCACAAATTTTAAAGAATTTAAATAAAAATTACCTATCCATTTACTTTTTTATTAATTTGAGAATTCCTCATTATAACTGCTACTGGGAAATATTTGTTCTTGGATGTTGTGAAATGAAAAAAAGAAGAAAAGATTGGGTAGTTTAACAGAAGCCAGGGATATCTTTGAGCATGTCTTGGATGATCTTAAGTAATATGCTGAATAGGATGAGGAGGAGACTAATTTGGGAAGAACATTGTATAAATAGAAGAAAATGTGTTTTGAGGATTATTTCATTGTAAGAAAAACAGCAACAACAACAACAACAACAACAACAAAAAAAAACCAAAAACCCAAAAGGTTCACCCTGTTAATTTAAGTAAGAAAGGGCTTATTCATCTTGTATACAAAGTCTAAGTGAGCAGGTTAGCACAAGATCATAAGCTCAATAAAGTAACCAAGAATTAAGGTTCCTGGGTGGGAATATGAAAGGCAAAAGGCGGGGGCTTGGAGGGGGGGGGCTGGAGGGAGTCACCTTTTAAATCCTTTCCCCAAACTTCTGCCTAGAGATAGTCTTTCTTGCATTTTACTGTCTAGAACTAGGGGGTTACTTGACTGCCACATACTGTATTCCTGATTATGGAAGGAAGCAGAAGAAAAAGGTGGTTGTTGTTATGTGCCGTCGAGTTGCTTGCGACTCATAGCGACCCTATGTACAACAGCCCTAAACCCTGCTCTATCCTGTGCCAATCACACTGCCTCCGACACACCCATCCCGATTACCCCAGTCACTGAATCTATCCACCTCAGGAGAATTTTTTAGGTAGTTACAGCTGAGAAAAGGAGCCCTTGTGATGTTAACACTGAGTTAACAGAAAGAGTAGCAGTTTGAGCTCACCAACTACTCTGCTGGAGAAAGATGTGGCAGTCTGCTTCTATAAAGATCATAGCCTTGGAAATCCTGGGTAGTTCTGTTCTGTCCAGTACCATTGCTTTGAGTTAGAACTGACTCAGTGTTGCTGAATTTATGCCACATTGACATAGTTTGTTTCTCTGTGGAACCAGATGTGATTGAACATATTCCTATGATTTGATTCACTTTTAAAAATGAAACCTACCCAGGTAGTCATACTTTCCTTTAATTATTTGATAAAGGATTTCCCTTAGTTGTTTGAACATATTTATGATATGTTAAACTCTTGTCTTCCACGTGAGTCATTGTTGCCTCAGAGCTAGTTTCCATTGAGTTTCTTTCACTGAGATCATCTGTTTAAACTGAGATCATCTTTATACTTTCTTATTCTTTTGCATGTCTTGTAATCCTTTTGTTGAAAACTGGAAATTTTAAGCAATGTATCGTAGAAAGTCTGGGTTCTGATTTTTCTCTCTCTGAAATTTGTGTTGTGCTTTATTTATTTATTGGTTTGGTAACTTGTGTGTACCACATATATGGAATTTGTTTGATTGTTATTATCTTTGCTCAGTT